CCTTAGATCAGCATCTTTGTGCGAGCCGGGTTTAGGTTTGCGCCAGCGTGTAGGGATTGAGAGAAGGGATTTAGCCGAAGATTGCTATCACGGCAGACAGGAGGAGTTTTTGGAATTGAGCCATCACCTCTTCGGACAATAGGCCCTTTGTGCACGTCTAGTAAAGTCTAATCAATCCTGTGACATGGCTAAATTTGCCATCATGCCCAAAAATGGTATTCATGCAATTAACCATGACTTCAGTTCAATGCATTTCACTTTTCAGAAATTCACCTTCACATGTTTTTTTCTGTGCAACCTGTTTTTAACTTCTTTTTTTTTTTTAACTCACCTATTGGCAGTTTTTGTGCGTATATCATCATTGTTGGTTACATCGCTAATATGGACAATTCTAAATATTTGAAGGGAGATCAATTTTTAATATTTGCTTCCGGGGATGGTCCCAATCCCCCCGTCCAATATGCGAGGGTTCACTGTACACAACAGTTATTTTTCTGCAGTGGTGATAGAACCACATCTCTCATAGCAGCTGTGTGGAAATGGTTTGAATTAGCCCCGCCGGTTCCCCCCCGAGACCATCCAGTAATGATGCAAATTTAGGGGCTTTCTGACAAGGCCTTGACACTTGATATGTTAGTCAACTCCCCTCTCTGTGTTGGTTTTACCAATCCATAAATATTGGATCCGTGGGGACTTGTATGAGCAAAAAAAAAAAAAAAACGGGAAAAAGAAAGAAAGGGAGCAAAACATACATTGGTCTCGTGTCAGTTTTTCTTCCCAAGTTGGCCTGTGGACCGCTGGTGGTCTGCAAGCAACCCAGCAACATTTCTCTTTGTATTTCAAACGAAGCGTTTCAAAATGGGATGAAAATGTTTCACGCTAGTCATAAATTCGCCATTGTGAGTACCTGATGATATTTACATGAATGCTAATACGGGAAATCAACAAAAGGAGAATGAAAGCGTTTTCTTGGGTGTTCAATTATTCATCAGTTGCTTACAAAATAATCCTGATATCAATCAAAACGAATCAAAGCAAAAAAGTAAAATATGGTCTTTTTTCCTACAGTGGTCTTTTGCCCGATTTAAGTTTGAGCTGTGCTGTTGCAGCTCACTATGTCACAGATCTGCAGCTCCATCTACTGTTGCACACAAAAAAGAAGTGGCCGCAGCTGGAATTGGCAGCACTCCGAGCGACTCCCTTCTAGTCATCGTTCGGAGAGTTGTGTCAGAAAAGACATTCTAACGGCAACATGGCACTGATCTCTAAGCGCGACGTATCTCCAACGAAAGATTGTTCGACACATGTCTCGATACGCGGGATGTGATTCAAGGACGAGGCGAGGTTATCGCTCTTGTCGTTCGCCGTCGAGGTCGTGCAATCAGCAAACTAGGGCAAAGGGCACGACAACTGTTTGGTCTCTCAACGTATGTCAGCGTTAATTTTTAATCGTAACTTCAGTAGTCCGTTCCGAGTCGATTTGGTCGGTTGTTGACGTCAATATTTACAGCAGTTATATGGTTAGCATTTGGTTTTGCCAACTCATACCCTCTTTAGTAACGGGTGTGCAGGATGTTAGCATCCTATCGTAGCCTAGCACCACGTGAGTAGCGTGTAATTTGTCCGTTGCTTGTCGGCAAGAGTGTAAAAAGACACCATTACATGTCCCGGCGACTCATCGGCCGTGTTTTCTTTCCCCCCCTGTTTTTTGGGGGGTTTTGACATGCGTCGTAATGACTTCTTTGTGACAGACGAGCAAAAACCGGTCGCCCAGCTGCCGCTCATGACTGATGTCTTTGACTTCCTGCTTGAGCGTGAAAAGGCCTCTGTGTGGTCCCGCTCGCCTGACGTCGCGCAGGTTGGGAAATGTGATAGTCACCAATGTTCGCTGATTGTTGACATTACCAACAGTCGTGTTTGTGCTACCAAATGTGGGTGTGGGTGTGTGTTTAATTCTAGCTTCCACTCACCAGTTTCCTAACCGGAAGAACACCTGGAACTTTTTTTTTCCCTCTTCAGTGTGACATAAGACAAAAGGAGCGCTGTTGGTGTTTATGACTGGAAATGACAAAAAATAAAAAATAAAAAAAATAGCCATAACAATCATGTGCGAATAACAGTGACTTATTTGAACCTCGTCCTTTGTTTTTTTCTGAACGTTGCACATGTTCTCGATTAAATTCCCCTCCCAGGAATTCACTCAATTAGCATCCTCCTTTTTAATCAGAAGCGGGCTCAGATGGAGTTTCATGTTGCACCACGGCGCCATCTGCCGGACTACTGGCACATCACTACGCTACTATGCAATAATGTCATATTGGGAGAAATCAAAATTCTATTTCTGTAATCTTGAATATTTACGCTTCAATTATAAGATTAAAAATATAAAATAATGATATAACTGAATTTTAAATAATCATTGTGAAATTATTCCGTCTAAAGTGGTCAAAAAGGAATGACTATTTCTTTTCTAATTTTTTTTTATATCTCGTACCATAACGGTACCCACATTTTTTTCCAACTCTTTTTTTCTAATCCCCTTTTAAATTAATGCATGTGCCCAATAATTGCACTCGATAGTCACAACAACTAGTACTTTTTTTTTTTTTTTTTTTAGTCTCCACAAATGCAGGGCTGGTTTTCGTCTTGGCAAATGAGAACATGACTGCAAGTGCATCAACACCAGTCATCCATGTGGTGGCGCTAGTGTGCAGCACTAAACACGTTGGCAGTGTTTTATTTGGGGTTCACACAGGGGACAGAGCAGCCAGTCAAACTTACAGAAATCTCTTGTCCTTCCCTGCTGGTTCATACATTAGTGAAATGAGATTTCCTTTTAATGCCTCCTGCCCTCTTGAGCCACTCTTGGGTTCTTGTGAGGCGGAATAATCATTAACAAAGTGTACAACGAACAATTTGAGCGCAACGCTGGACATTTTGCAAAATTGTTTTCATTCATTCTCTGAAGTTTAATGAAAGGAATGTACATGGCTGGACGACAAAATGATATGAAGGAAATTATTACTGGATGGCTACTATGTGTTGGCGCCACATATCAGTGGCTGGTATCAGCACCCTCAACGAGTACCCAATATTTAAAAAAAAAAACGAGGCCGGTATTGGGACTTGCCCATCCCTATGTCACATATGATATCAGAAATATTGATCAGACTGTATCCTGTGTTATGCATGCAACCTCAAAACCCGACATAGGGTCACAGTTTTTCCGTTGCAGCGCATGAGTATATGTGCAATGCTCGCCGTACATTTTTAGTCATTAGTTTTAGCTGTCAGACCACGACGATGCCACTGTTTTGTTTGAAAGTGATGCGTGACGGTGATGTCAGTCGAGTTGTTGTTAAATAAGCAAAAAGTCGGTGAGGTTTTCTCACTCACGGAGAACAGGAAGTCGACCCGTCAGTCAGATATCAAAGTGCAGACTTCTCTGCCAAGCCACGGAAGCGGCCAACGGACTGAGTCACGGCTGACGCATCCTCCCTCAGAGCCTCTCTCGCTACCGGCTCGTGGATGGAAGGCACAAATGAAAGAAGACTGGCCTTCTTAACATCAGCGCCCCAGACTCCCCCGAGACCAGCCCGACTCCCTCAGACAGACGGATGGAGGCAAGTGTGCAGAGTGGCATCACGCTGTGGAAAGGACTGCGTTCATCCCGCGAGGTTTTCCCCGAGCACGTCGGACTCGACGGACATGAAAGACCCAAGATCGAGCGTGACTCATTCGGGGTGTAAAAACAGCACCGTGTCCTCTACCCGGCGTATATCTCAACCCTAATAAGCGTGTGAGTCATCCGGAGGCCCTTTGAATACAAAGCCCATTTTCAAAATGCCGTCACACTCCATCAGGAACCAAAGTTGAAACCTGTCACTATGGATTTGACAGCTTGCCCGAGTCCTTCCTCATTCATCTGTTTTTTTTTTTTTTTGGAGAAACGATGGAGAATATTCTGGCGGCCACAACGGTGGTGGCTCATGTTTAATTTAAGCAGCAAAGTTAAAGACCTTCTGGCGCACTTTCGACTCCTGTGACTCACTGGAGTTTTTTTCAAGTGTAGTCGAGGGGAAGGAAAATAAAAAGGCCGAAAGTCAAGTGAGGCCGCCAGTTGTTTACTGGACTTATTTCATTGACAACCTGTCACAGACGTGTCAGTGTTTTTGTTTTTTTTTGCCACGTCCTCCTGTTCTGGAATTGATTTCTGCTCACCAATCGGAATGCAGGATTGTGTAGAGTGGAAGATTTTTCTGGTTGACATGCATCTGGTGTATTGCCCGGCGAAATACATTTTTCCGCTCGGAGAACTTTTTAGCTCGTCGGGGGGGATGCTGTGGATGCCGTCTGCTCTGAGTTTCGACACTTTAGGCAACGGACATTTAAAGAAAGATAATATCCCAATCCTCACTGGCATATATTCTTTATCCCTTTGTGATCAAAGAATAACGTTATTACAGTGCAATGAGCCACTTAAAACAATTTTAAGACTCTTGTTTGTTTGTGTTTGGATGATTGTAGTATTCTGGCCCAAGGCAGACACCCCAGTAGGTGTTACAAGTCGGTTACATTAATCAATTATTAATTAATCATACTACGTAAATGTCTTTTTTTTTTAATTATGTCATTGCCATTTTATTTATTATTAATTTTAAAGTGAATATTAGACAGTGCGGTTTTCATTATAAAAACACTTTTTGTTGGGAGGCTTCAATAAATGAATGCCGTCTCCATTAATTTCTATGAGGAAAGACAATTTGAGGTCCGAGTACTTGAAGTTCTTTGGTTACAGCGCAAATTAAACTCGTATGTCAAGGTAACACCAATAGAGGCTTCTTATTACCTTGGACGCACGGGGGCGCCAGATCACCTTCAATGCTCATTCGTTATCCCCTCTCTCTCTCTCTCTCTCTCTCTCTCTCTCTCTCTCTCTCTCTCTCTCTCTCTGCCTACTCCAGTTTTTCCAAATCATTCAGACTGTGAAGCTCTCTCGTGTCCACTCTCCCGCCCCCTCTCACACACAAACCCGCCGTCAATGCGCGGCGCACTGGCACCGACTGTGCTGTGGGTGTCTGTGGAAAAAAAAATAATAATAATTAAAAAAAAGAGTCATTTTTTTAGGGGAGCGGGGGTGCGGGGGGTCTCTAAAGGAACAAGGAGGAGAAATACTGCTGACTTTTTTTTTTCCCCCCTCCTCACGCGTGGTGGACTAGATGGCAGGGGCTCAGCCAGGAGTCCACGCGCTGCAGCTCAAGCCGGTGTCCGTGCCCGAGAGCCTCAGACGGGGCAACAAATTCATGAAATGGGACGATGTGAGTCACCGGCAGAAATTGTACTCTCCTTATGTTTCTGCATGCAGCGATATGCTTTGTTGTTGTTATTATTATTATTATTATTGCACAAGATTATGACACAATGTGCTCGGGCGGATGATGGATGGGGGTGACAGTGCGTTGAGCGCGCGTGCTTTGTTTACACGCCATTTAGTGTAGTAGGCGCGCGTGCATGAGGGTGTTATTGAAATTAAACTTGAATCAATTTCTGTGACATGACTTGAGTTGACTAATCGTCATCATAATTATCATCATCATACTCCCTTAACCTCCTCCCTCTTTGAGCCCCCCCCACCCCCCCTCCCTTTGTTATTGTTGCCTGTGTTGGGCTTCAGACAAATGACCTTGATTAAAATTGATTGCACGCTGCCATCTGAGTGTCCTGTCAAAAGAATCCACAGTGGAGTAGTAGCTCCGTCCAGCAAATGGCCATATACCGTGCATGGCTGCTGCTGCTGCTGCATGTTGCCCACAGCCAAGTAGACAGCAGCAAGCAGCTTATTCCAATTGATGAAATCTCTGTGTTGTACCATAGTCACCTCACTGCTATTTCGTTATTGCTATTTTTATTTGAATGGTGCCTCATTCAAACCAAGGATGTCCAGGATATGACATTCTTTAATTATAATGCCCAATTTCCAGTATGTCCACTGAAGTGACTCATGCACTGTGATGTTTTTCAGGACCTTAAATCAGCAAGCTGCTGTTTTACGGGCCCCCGAGTAGTTCAGTCGAATGCACGTTCTTTACAGTTCTCAACTGCAGCAATTACCGAGCAGAGACGCGTGACATGTGACAGTCAAGCCAATGTGGTCATAGAAGACAAAGTGGTTTTGAGGAGTTACGGGACAAGAATACAAGAAGTATTGCTGTACATGATATCTGTGTTTTCAAAAGCTATTTTTTGGAACGATGCATTTATTGTATTGTTCTTAATGTATGCAAAAGCGGGTCACGACTAAAAACATCAAAAGGGAAAATACGGATCCCGCAAAGACGGTGTCAATCATGTAAACCGAACTTGGTGGCACCATGGTTGTCCTAAAGATAATTACAATGTATTTTCTCCGAGTGAAACAAATGAGGCGCTTGATTGTCGTATTATTTTGGTTTTGTCTCTCAAGAATGATTTCTTTTTAGAAGTCCATGAGGTGTTTCCCCGACCCCTTAAATGCTTGTGTACTGAGCGTTTGTGGCGGTGGGCCTTTTCTCCAGTACAAAATGTCCTCTTCATTCTTTTCCCTGTAAAAATACAACACCCTGGGAAAGATGAGCTCAGATACCTTCTCTTGTTTAATTTCCCAGACACTTCTTCCTTCCTCTTTCCACTCGCTTGTGTGGCTTTATGGAAAGAACCCAGAGACAAGCAGACAGATGGACAGACAAACACAATGCTGAAGCTCCCGGGAGATAAATCAAATTTGGTGCTTTTGTGGTTTCAGATGCAACTCTTGAACGTCTCTTAACAGGAAATTGTACAGGCAGATCATTGCAGCTCATCCAAGAGGGTCAGTTTTGCTCCTGTGCTCCCCCCCATACACAGTTGTGCATTGTGATGCGAGGAACTCAATTTATGTGATTTTTGAGACGTTTTTGCTTTGGCTCGCTCGTGTAAACGTGAGAGACAAGCACTGTATGGTGACTCCCTCTTGACGTGTGCTGTCAAATTAAACACAAAAGAAAGAGAATTACACTTTGCGTATTTAAAAGAACCATATAACCTTGCCTGAAAGAACATTTTCTTTATCTTCTGCAAAGAGCAAGCAATATTCATGGTGTGCTGAGGAGCTGAGATGGTCTCCATGTACCGTGCGTAGATCTGTCCGTCTTATACTGCAGCCCAATGGCCAGTGATTTGATGCAAATTGACACTTTGAGTTGTGAGCGTGGTCACCGAACGAATGGAACTCGTATCTCAAGGTGCCACTGTAGCTGCCAGGTGAACATTAAAAAAAAAAAAAAAAAATTGCTCTTCCCTAAAAACAAAAGATTTGTCATTAGCTATTTCGCATTTTGTTCCCGGTAATGCACATCATTTGTTTTCCCAACATTTTCATGGTTCCGTGTCGAAGGGGAGTTGAACATTTCATTCATGGCGCTGCCATCGAGCAGCAGCGGGTCTTCGTTTAAGTGAGAGTGGAGCACAGGCAGGCATCCAAAAACGAGTCGTCTTCAGGATGAGTGAGAGATGTTGGCGTGCAGATGATGTTGGGTCACTCACAACATCTTTTCCTTATATCATATATATAATCCGTGCTTGTGTCGTGCAGTCTGCTGTAATGCTCGGTGAATACAGGATGTCAATATGCCCATCGAGAACTGCCTCCTTAACGCCCCCGAAGGTGATAGCTAGTACTATAATATAGTGTGCGTGTTTGTGTGTGTGTGTGTGTGTGTGTGTGTGTGTGTGTGTGTGTGTGTGTGTGTGTGTGTGTGTGTGTGTTATATTAATCCATTCAAAATATTTTGAATTGATATTTTTATGAACTGAACCAAACAAATCAATCGGGGCCTATACTCTCTGCAGTTTAGTACGCACAGCACATCACCCTTACCGCCGCCATATGAGAACTGGCCATGAATCTATTTTAGCATGGCCTTTATGTGCGCCTACGAGCCAACAAATAGCAATGACAATCCACCACACTCGGTACACCAGAACAAGATTCATAATAACGATGGATCAGTGTGACCGTAGTATTAAAAACATAACCTACATAGACATTTGGTTGAGGAAAATTGTATTGGCTGCCAATGCTTGAGTGCACACGTATAGTACATACCTGGCATGCATGCCGCATTGTTGTCGACTTCTGTCTCTCGTCTGTCAAGATTGTGCAGTCATGCGACTCAGCCATTCCCGTCATCCCCGCCGTTGCTGTGTCGTAATCGGCAAGCGGGAGGGTTGCCATAGCGCCGCAACTCCACCACATCGTCTTACTGAGGTTTGAGCTAGAAAGCTAATGGAATATCGTGTCCTCCGACCCTTTTAATGTCAACGCCTTTGATGCCCCCCCCGCCCCCCGCTGCCCAAAGCTCCAGATGGGGTCTCGCCCGAATGCGACGCAGAACAGATGCCGGCAATTAGTGTTATCGGCAAATGCTGTGATAGAGACCTTGTTAGAAGCTTTTTTTGACTTTGAACATTTTCCTCAAGAATGCAGCGTTGCCCTCGCTAAACTTGAGGATGCGGTATTCGGGTGAACTTGTTCTCTGTGTCTCTTTTTTTTTTTTTTTCAAATATAAATGTGTCCAATAATATCCAGCACACCTGAGGGTCAGAACTGTGTGTTTGCACAAGGCTTGGAGTCAACTGAGGTGAAGAAAAAAAAAAAAAAAGGAATAATGCCAGCAGAGCAGGCACACACCTCCACGGGGCTTGAAACGAAATTAAATTTTGGGGGCTCTCTAGTTCTGCTGATAATAAAATATAAAGTCTATTAATTGCTCTTGTGGACCCACTAGTGGTTGTGGAGCCTATTTGGAATCCTTCTCAGCAGCTGTACACGCGCTTCGATCCACTTCAGCTCAATTGTTTGTCTTTTCTTCTAGGACTCCACCACTGTGAGCCCCGTGACGGTAACCGTTGACCCCAAAGGCTACTTCCTCTACTGGACTGACCAAAGCAAGGTGAGGCTCTCCTGCTTTGAGACGGGCTACACCACTGTACTATTTTTGCGAGATATTTGTAATTCTGTCGTCGGAGCGTCTGGCTTGTTTTTCTTCACCGTAGCACCGAGGGTGCAAGCAAACTAAAGTGCAAACACAATGTAGACATAATTCCCAAAGCGGAAAACCTGTCTGTGAAAAGGTTGCCAGTTAAAGCATTTACACCTGATTCCCGAGAGAGCTAACGGGCTAACTGTCGTACAGAACAAAGCTGGGACATTCTCTCACATTTGAATTCAAATATTTGATTCAGGCATTAACCCGACACCCGTGAGATGCAAGCGTTGTCGATTATTCCTCTCCAAACCTGCTCTTGGATTGTCAGCACAGTCCGTAAAACTCACTGGCGAAAGAGGAGGATGGACTCGCCAAGCTATTGCTGTTTGTATTGTGTGTGTGTGTGTGTGTGTGTGTGTGTGTGTGTGTGTGTGTGTGTGTGTGTGTGTGTGTGTGTGTGTGTGTGTGCGTGTGTGTGTGTGTGTGTGTGTGTGCCACGCTATGAAATAGCCTTCATTGATTTTATCTTGGCCCTCATGAGGGCATCTCGAGATGTGCGCGGGACTGCTGACGCGACCGAACCTCCCCTGAGCGCTAATTAGTATTAGCACCCCGCGCGAAGGTGGTTGAGGACCTTTGTTGGCGGGTAACTTTAGATGTCGACCGTGAAGAGAACAGAACAACCTTCATCCAAGCCCACCTGAGGCGCTTTACACTCTGTTTACACCCGCTACATGCGCTAAAGGTCACTTGTACTGTACACAACATAGCGTACATCAACAAAAGTTCAGTTTAATGCATTGCTCAAGGGTGGGGTGCATTGCTCAAGTCCAAATTGGATTTTTTTTTTAATTCATTGTCCCTTTTTTTGGAAATTCTGGTATGTCGTCACAGGCAATTTGCTTGAGCATGTCTAAAATTGAACAGTGATATAAAATTTAGGCATTATAGTGGAGTGTCTTGGCATGCTTTTGACGGGCAAAACGTTTTTTACATTTTCATCTCCTTTTCGTTGTGTCTTGACCGATATGTGGAAATAAATATATTGCAAGGTTGATTTTCATTCAGCGGCGTCATCGCTGATGTTAGTTTTGTGTTAGAATCTTTGTGTGTGGTCTCCTATTCACTCTCTCGTGGCTTTTGACACCGGTCCTTAAAACTGGTGTGACCCGGCCGGCAAAGCTCTATTAGGACATGCGCAAGTGCGTATTCGCCGTGCGGTTTTCGTGGACGTCGCCTCGTGTTTATAGACCCGTCGCGTGTTCTCGCAGCACATCTTAAACATGGAGCGACGCCGCCCGACGTCCAGTTGTGTTATGCGGCTGTCAGGAGGGGACCGGCGGCGTAATGGCCTGCAGAGTAAAAGCATTCCTGGGATTCCTTGAGGAACTACAACACAACTGCAGTCAGTTCACCAGTAAACGGCGCTGACTGAGGGTCTGCAGATTTAACTCGCCTTATAAATGGACTAATAGTGTCGCCCGCTGTTGTTTACTATCGATCAAATATAAACACTTCCTTTGTTGAGTAATTACGGTGAGTCAAGCGTATTTTCCCATTATTCACAGCCGTTCAATTATTTTCACGCTCGCGCGAGGGTATCGTTAGTGCCCATTGAGGGTACGAGCGGCGAACTCACACCGCCACCCGCACAGCCCGCCAACCTCGGACGAAGAACAGGTGCTTCTTTTTGGAGTTTAAAAATAATTAGCGCCGCTGTCGTCTGCGGCGGGGTTGAGAGGCCGGCGAAGTGGACAGGGTGCGTAAAATTAACTGTCCTTTTGCTTGAGTTGCCATGCGACCGCTCTCACGCTACCTTTTCAAATGTCACATTCTGTTTCGGTCGCTGCTCGTTTCCCGGAGAATACCGCTCGTTCTGAGAATGATATCGTTGGAAGACGTTTGTTTGTGCTTTGTTCCCCCCCCTCCCCCTTAGCCAGCAAACAAAAGGTTAAAAAGGCTCTCAAATGACTGAGCTGTGTGTCGACGTTGTCAGTCGCCCACCCCCACCTTCCCAATAAGCGTATTGAGTATGAGTGATGTACCCAAAAGTGACAGGAAATCAGACTATGCCCATTCCACGCCGTCCGTATCCAAGTCTCTGCAGAATACGCTCGCGTGTTCGCTCGAGCGCAGCAATTTCCCTTGATCGGGCGAGCTTGTTGCGCCACTTTCTCTGTCAGCACTCTGAGAGAAGCGAGGAGCAACAGCATAAATCCGCAGCCAATCGAAAGAAAAGTGAATTGTGATCTCAGCCGAGTCATAGCCCTGCCGCGCTGTGGCCCTTTCTCATCATTTGCGACCGAGAGCGAGTTTGAGAGGCACTGAGGGGAAAGTCACAAGTTGCCTCTTGGAGCCACATTTTCACAGAGCAACTCACTTAAGCTCCATTTCGTATGCAAATCTTTTGTTTCCGTCCGACAAAGGCACGGATAGGACCGGAAAAAGACTGTCCCTTTTTTCTGGCTTACCATCAGAAGGATTCTGAGGCGTCCTAGGCCTCCTTCTGGGTTGTACGTTTCTGTGAGGTGTCTGTAAAGCTTCCAAGACAGAAGTCCCGGGAACCCCTGGATGAGACGTCAGTCGTCAACAAGGTTCGAGAGGTTGGACGTCCTCGTGGTGACTGTGAAGTCTCGAAGGAAGATCCCCTGAAACTGATGAAACGACTTTGTGGCAACCTTGCGTCCTTCGGAGCAACCACGTGGGCATCACCTGGTCTTAAGTACGAGCCAGATCGAATGAACCCAACGGACCATACCATGTAATGCGAGTTTGGAGATTTGATGTCACTGATAAATCCTCCATTTTTATGGGGCCGTTTGGGGAAGTGCGATAGAGGTCTGTAAGTCATTGCATTGTTGTCAGCTGAGGTTAATCCTTCCGACGAGGGCGCATACCAAACCGAGGGAACGTTCAGAAATTTATGTTCCAACATTAATTTTAAGGTTTATGCCTTTCAATACTGCAGCCAGGAACTTATTGATATTGACCTTATATGCTTGGGGACTGTAACATTTTTATATATGTTATTTATGGGCCGGTCACGTCATGTTATGATCACCAAGCTCGTGCCATGACAAAGGCTGCTTATATTTTCTTGCCGCTTTCATCAGTCAGCCTGCGCAACCCTGAAAGGGCACAAAACTAGAGAGTGTAAAAATGTTGACCTGATGCATTGTTAAGTCGATGTGTCAAGCGAGTCCCAAGCGGAAAAACAGGATCAGCCTCTTTGTTTGTGGGAAAATAATTACGATAGGTCCAATGGGGGGGAAAAAAAGTATCATGGTTCATGCGGATGTGTTGAGTGCGATCAGCTCGTTTGAAAGTGCTGCGTCTGGTTGCCTGGCTAAAATCTGCCAGAGGAGTAAAGAGGGTGATTAAGTGTCTCATTGTGTCGTGGGCGCTAGGATTTAGAATGCAGATGCTGGCCCATTTCTGGCCCGCTGATTAAAGTAAAGGTGATCTGAGATCAATTTAACGCAAAATACAAAGAATCGTTTGCTCTGTGCGTAAGGTACAGATGCGCAAACTTTCTTGCTTCTGAAGTAGTAACAGGATTATCCGTTCCTAATGAACACCCCTTACATGTTTGCAGTCACTTTGTCGATCTCTGAAAATTGTTGACGTCAGCTGGTCTGGATTCATTAAATCCTTCAGGACTGGATTTGCAATATGAGATTTCATCACGGCCAATCTGACGTCGACATTTACACGGGGCTCACTCTCCGAAACTGACATTTAAAACTGGTTGCCATGGCAATCCACTTAGGGCAACTTTTTTTTTTTTTTTTTAATAAAGCTTGAATGTGCTTTCGAAGACGTTCACAACTCATTGTTACAGCGCGTCCCTTTTTTTTTCTTTTTTCTTTTTTTTTTTTTTTGCTTTCCCAATATGTCACGAATGAGTTTGAAGCTGGAGTGAGTTGAATCCACAGAGACATGTGAAAAATAGTTCCTTCGAAGTCCTGAATGCGTGGGACATTTGGACAATAGAGTGGCTTCGATCAGTTTTCAGAAAAATGAGTTTTTTGGAAATCACAAAAAGTTGGAAGGACCAAAATCATTTGACAGAATTCTGGCGCACAATAACAAGAGAGAGAAATGACAAACTTCCATATGCTGTGGACCCTAAAGGGTTCATTTCCAGAATTGGTGAATGAATTTATAGCGATGGCAATCAGTGCTTAGTGGCAAGCGGCTTCCACTTCAAGGCCCATTTGTTCGCCGAGCAATTAGCAAGGCTTCTTTTTTTTTTTTTTGCTTTGCCACAATTTCCTTTTGTTTCCTACCGCACATAAACGAACGAGCGTCAACCGCTCGAGTGGGCGACTGGAAAGTAGAAAAGGTCTTTAACTCCATCATGACGGGAGGAGATGGATGTTGAGTGGTGAGTGGGATCGTAAGTAGGCATAATAACCCATAGCCAAGTTTTTTTTTTCTCCCCATTGAGTGACCTTGTTAATCATTTACAAGCATGTTAGAAGAGGCTGCATAGCTTGCGTTCGCTCGCATAAATTCCGAACTCTTGTTGTCTGAGGCCAAAATATTCGGCAGATCGTTGCGTTTGAGCTCGAGATATTTCCATCCATCCATCCATTATCCTCACGAGGGTTTTCGGGCAGTAGGCAGGGGGACCCCCTGAACCGGTTGCCAGCCAATCGCAGGGCACAACCATTCATGCTCACAATCACACCTCGGGACAATTTAGAGTGCTCCATTCACCTGCGATGCATGTTTTTGGAATGTGGGAGGAAACCGGAATACCCGGAGAAAACCCACACAGGAGAACATGCAAACTCCACACAGGAAGGCCGGAGCAGGAATCGAACCCACTGTGCCGCCAGATGTTTCCAACTTCCCTTTTTTTCCCCCCCCCCTCCCCCCCAAAAGCAGTCACACTTCCACCATGGCTGCTGCTCTCGGTCGTCTCCACACCCGGTTTCCACTTGGTGGCTGGTGCGTGTCATAGATGTGGGTCAGTCGCGCATCACCTCACCTTTCCCCCCCTGCTGAACTCAATTGAATTTCAACCGGGGGCTGATAAGGAGGTATCGAATTCAGACGGCTGGAGAGAAACGAGAGAGGCTTGAGCCAAATTTGAGCGAAACAATCCTCCACTTTGCTCAATGCTGCAATGTGCTTTTGCCGCCTTTTCTTTGAACCCATCGATCTTGTCAGAAAGGATGTCAGGTAAAACGATAACCGGCAAGCGTATTGGGGAATGCTCCAACGGAAAGACCGAACGCTAAGCGTGTTAGATTTGCCCCGCGGAGAGCGAATGATGAATGGATTTCTCTTTCGGCGCCCCCGTTTTGTCCTGACATCAAAAAGGCACCGCGGATGCCGCCTGAGCCGGCGAGGCGGCGGAGCTGCTCTGCTGGCTGCCATTGCCGTTGATCCTCAAAGGACTCGGTGTTGAGTTGCTGCGCCTGTGATGTCGCGGTTGCGGTCTGAATGGAAAAGAGGCACGACGGGTCGAAAACGAAATCTCTTGAAGCAATTGTCGAAATTCCACAAATGTCAATCGACATGAATGTAGCTCCCATAACGGACTCCAAGGTACCTTATGCCAGTTGTGTTTTTGTTTGTACCTTATCCGGGACTAAAAATGTGCAAGTTTGTCACCAAACAATAAAGTCAAGAGTCAAGGACCCCCACGCAGGGTACTTCAAGCCTTAGGAGGTACATTTAAAAGCACTTTTACGGAGAGCCTCCTCGTGGAGTTGTCCTTTCGTGTGTGGCCACATTTGCATTTGGAAGGACTTGGAGAGGTGATCTCTTGGATGATCCTTTGCGACAAAACACGAGGAGGCCCCGTGAAGGAGGCTCAAACGGATGAAAGAGCCGACTAAAGAGCACTGACGAAAGGTAAAATGGAGGAATGCGGGTCGGTGTCGTTGCATGCGCCCACGCCGATTTGACAAGATGCTCGCCGCCATCCAAAGACGGCAGACGAGGATGAATCTCAGTGAAGGAGACAGATGTCCGCCCAGAGGACAGGTGAGACGTCAGGGGAGCGGCGAGGGACGACGCGCAACAAAGCGGCTTGATGGACGGACGGCGCGAGCAGTTTTGCTTTCCCTCCTGTCATCCCCGCAACGCTCTGCTATCTGTCAAACGGGGGAGTGTACTCGTGCGCCTTCCACAGTCCCCTCGGCGCTCTCCATCCGTCAAGTGCGGGAGCCGGAGTGCGTCTTTGCATTTGTGCTCATTTGATTGGCCCGGAGGAACACGGTTACCAGATGCCGAGTGTTGACGCCGCAATAAAGACGTGGCCGTACACGGGTGCACATTTTTGCTCCTCACTTTTCACGAGACCCCAAAATGCGGTTTTGTTCCCCCTTTACGATCGCATCGTCAAAGAGAGACAAGAGAAAAAGTTGCCGGCCAAGTTTCCTCCTGCATCCTTTTTTTTTTCTTCATCTGCACCTCGGCTGTTTGTCGGAGCGTGTCAGATGCCCGATAGCTAGAATCAACCGCCAGCACTCTTCTCAGACACTTTTGGGCCTCTTTTCTCACACTTTAGTTCACTCCTTCTGCCCGACCTGTCATCCCTCATCATTCTCTCTCTTTTTTTTTTTTTTTTGTAATGACCTGGCTGGTTATCAAAGTCCCGTGCGACTGTGAAGGGGCCACCTTTTTTTTTTTTTTTTTTTGGATGCAGCCTGACTCGATGCATATTCATCTTTCTTCATCTACGTCAGGGGTGTCAAACTCATTTTTGTCGCGGGCTACATCGTAGTTGCTCTTCCCTTTGGAGGGCCTTTATGCCTGTGAAAGCATATAAAGAAGTCAAGAATAACTGTTTCTTCAACTATTTAAGGGACTGTAATGAGGGGTTTGGTAACAACAAAATGCTGACAACAGCTCTCATTTATGACATATGATCATTTTAAATTTGGGTACAGATTTTAGGAAGCATCATGGAAGTTGACATGCTTGATTGGCTTTCGCGGGCCACATAAAATTGTGCGGCGGGCCAGATTTGGCCCGCGGGCCTTGGGTTTGACACCCGTGAGCTACGTGAATGTGTTACGAGGCTTCAGACCTTGGATAGGGCGGTGGAAGGATAGATACAGTACAGTACATACTATATAGATAGCTACGCTACCACTCTTTCTCTATCGCTGTCAATCAAAACATCCATCCATTCATTCGCCAATCCATCTTTTCGAGGATACTCTTGATGTCTCGATCTTGACAGCATTCCTCGACAAAGTTGCATCACGTCTGTGTAATCCTGCGGACTTGAGATGAAATCTTCAGCTGATATTATCTGCAAATCTCCGGAATTGACTCAATAAGAGACACCACGAGCTTCTCTCTATCGGCAGCATCCGTTATGGCTTTCCGCGCGATTCTCAGTCACGCATTGGCGTAAACGCCGAACGAGAAGTCATCGAGAGGAGGCCGAGGGGTGAAATATGACAAAGATCATCAGCTCAATACGCGGCGGTGACTGCACTTTATCTCAAAAGTCTTTTACTTCCCCTCATTTCCTTTTTCTCTCCGCCATCATTTACCACTTTGACTCTCATGAAATATTCAATCTGTGGCTGTAACGTCCGGATAATTCAATCGTCCATCCTTTTTGACTTTCGCAAAGGCATCCAATCGAAAGAGACAAGGACGGATACATCGGAAGCAACCGCTCTCCTCCCACGTGTGCGCTCTCTGCGCAGCCACCCGAGACTTGAGCCTCCCTGTTGTTCTTTACCAAGCAGACGCACGGACGAGTTGAGCGGCTGTGACTCGCCGTGCGAGCGCCACCTGTTTCCTGACACCTGCTGTGTCTATTATTTTAGGGAGCCTTCAGCGCCTATATATATGTACACACATCATACGCCCGTATGGTCATGATAGCTTGGCGAAAATATGAAGTCAAACAGTGGATTAGGACTTGTGAATTGAATATTTATGCATCCATGATGAATCCCGCAAAAATTCAGGCCACTGCTGTTCTTGCTGAACAAAAAAAAAAAAAAGAAAGTCATGTTTTCCATTAGAATAAGCAGCATGTTGCAGATATATCAGGGCGATCCGCAGCCAGACAATATTGCCCGCGGCCGTCGCAGGTTAAGCACGCTCATTAATTTCTCTAGTTTCTCCCGACCCCCGCTGGTGCCGCTGCTCGCTTCCTAAGACGTGCCGCGTATGCTAACGGGCTTCTGTTCTTTATTTATTTATTTATGTATGTATTTATTTATGTACTTATTTATTTTTTGCTGGCCGGTGCACTTTGAAAAAGGCAGAGGAGGCAAGAGAAGAGGCGAGGCACAGATGATGTGATGAAGAATATAAATTGCACGCAAGCTACGTTGCTCGGATAGGAACCGTTTTTAAAATCGCCACCTACGAAAGAGTTAAGAGTCAAAGTCATTGTTGTTGGAAACATTAAGTGACCAAAAAAGTTTGAATATTAAAAAAAAAACAAAAAAACTTTTAAGTTCATCATCCGATGAATCGATTCTTGGAATTTTATCAGGCCAAATATCTGAACCTTCGTTCAGTCAATGCGGCAAACGATCGCGGATCCACAATAAAATGCATCGCTGAATCATTCAGCTGACCCCTGACTTGTGATGTTCTCTTTCCCCTGCAGGAGACCGACTTACTGGACATCGCCTACATCAAAGATGCCCGCAATGGAAAATGCACCAAAACTCCAAAGGTGAGCCTATATGGTGCACAGTATTGATTGTAATGGACAAAAACCAAAAAATGAACACGCTTCAGTTTGAGCGAGGGATTCTAAACGGAGCACGTGACGGCTAAGATGGCCGACGTCTCGGAAATCCATTACCGCGAGATGGAGACGAGCTGTCTGAGGTTGTGATGAGTGAGGTCGGCAGAAAAAGGAAGGAGGCAAGCCAAGGTGGAAGGATGTATGTATAGTGGCGTAGTTAGCCCGTTGCTGTCGGGTTGATTCAAGTCATTATTCAACCCCCTCCCAAAAAAAAAAAAAAAAAATTCAGTTCAGTAACATGGTCCAAGTAATGTAACATAAAATGTGGATTTTACACTGCATTGCATGGTTACATTTTGAAATGAATCTTTTTTTTCACCATAATAATAAATATTTGTTATCAACAGCAAAAACCTTTTGAAGTCGAAAGTCGTTGAGGTAATGAAACATAATCATAACATAAGAATTGCAAAATATCGATACAATATTTTTTACTCTATTAAAATTCAATGATGAATACAATTTAAATACATTTCATGCAAATTAAATTCAACAACTCCACTGTACTGTTTTAGTGTAAGATTATGGCCCTGTTTTTAAAATCCAAAAATGATACCCCAAAAAAAAAAAAGTAAAAAAAAATTAAATAAAAAATTGCTGAAATCAAACCCCACACCACTTAAATGTTTCAAATATTGGACACGTTATTTTTACACCATGCATACATTTTCGAATTTTCCGCTTTCTTTCAAATTAGAGTGCTTTTTTTTTTTTTTTTGGGCGTGGGGGTGGAAAATACCCCACTAAATTGCTTGCCATTTTTTTTAATGTCACCACCACCCTGCAGAGCCGAATCACATCCACTTTAAAAATGCTGCCTTAAGATGAAGAAAATCAATACCGCTGATCAATAGTGGCTACGTATCATCACTCTGTGCGAGAGGAAGGATAGCGAGCGACCGAGAGAGACAGCCTTCATCCATCTTCATTTATTTATTCTCCTGTTTCTATGTGGGTTTCCGCGGCGGCCAAATTGCCCCAAACCAACATGGCAGCCTCCAGCTTTGCACCCCCAGTCAGACACAGTCACGCTCCACAGGCAGCGTGTCATTAGACGTGGCTGCGTCTCGCAGGTTATGATTTCATTTCCCTGCTGCACCTGCTTTGCTTTTTTTCCTTTTTACACAAAAATAACGTAGCTCATTGTCTCGCCATCAAACGCGTGGCCGGCCCGCCGGCGTCTTCGCGCCACCCCACCTGTGAGCGGACGCCGCTCGTACGTGACTCACTCTCCCGAGCCTGATGGAGGCGCATTGATGAGCGTTGTTGTCTGCTCTTTTTGCACGTGTCGCTCCGTGTGTGTTCAAGTACTGCGCACACACTTAGATGAGCGACTGTGTCCTTACTGGCACTAATTAGCATGTACCCACCCGGCCGTCATTCACATTGATTAGATTGGGGGCTTGTCAGAGCGACGCTTTGTACGACACGGTGGATCTCCGAGTCAATCACAGACAAGCGGAGGGACGCGTTGTCTTCTTTTCTTCATTTCCCCGACTGTCTGTGGTTATTTTTAGTGCTTTTGTGGCCGTCACAGAATGTTCCCGCTGCGGTGGCGACGACGCCGCGCGCTTTCATTTTCATTTTGGACCTCGCCTTTGTGGCCAAGTTCTCCAAAAGCCTCGTTTCCGCCGCTCTGCTTAGTTTATGACGATCAAAACTTCCACAACTACTGTAAAGCATCACAGTACCACTTTTTTGGCATGTCATGTATACAATGAATAAAACGAAAATAAATATCGTCCGCTTCAGGATAAGCAGTCTAGGAAATGAACGGGTGGAACGTGGAAGATATCTTGTCCGTTTTTTTTTTGTTGTTGTTGTTGTTTTTAGGGAACAAATGATACCAACAAATGCAACAATAACAATTTGAAGCGTGCAAATTATTCTGTTTTTAAAAGTATAAATACCATTTGTTATTGTTAGTATTGTGCTATTTTTTTTTTTTCACGCTGGACTGATATTCCCATTCATGTCATACCTTTTTAAACAAATTTGTCGCCGTGTCAATCATGCGGTGAGGCAAGACCGCTGCTAGCCAGCCATTTAAACTTCCCGTCCCTTACTTAACAGGTTCCGTGGGACCTCATTAGGATTCAACTCCCCACACCCCTTCTCAGATTTACTATTTCCAACGACAAGTGTTGAAGTTAAATGTCTGCCCTGAATGGCTTCCCGGCACTGCCAGCTTGCAGCTCACCCCCAGTAGGCTGCTGCTAAATACGGCTCAGCTTGTGTGTCCGCGGCCTTGTAACAGGATCCGGGTAAAGACCAGCAGGCCCTCAACTGGGTATAGCCCGCAGAAACAAATTATAGCCGCGAGAATGGACACGGTGTGGCTAACGCTATCATCGTCATCATCGCTGGTGCTCGGCATCAGTGGAATGAGAAGAGCTGCGCATTGCTAGCTTGTCACTTTGCAATGTTCACTGCGCTGCAAAGTCTTATTATTATTATTTTTTTTTTGGCTCACACTTGAAACAATGTCAACAAACAAACCCATTAGCTCATATCGAGTATGAAAGCCCTTGAATGGGCTACTTTCAGCTCTGCTATTATTTTCTCCTTATGTCATCCCATTGGTCGCACAGTGAAGCCAAAACCCACTTTTGCAACCAGCGGCATACAGCAACAGAGCGAGATACCGCGTGTGTCCCACTGCAGCTGCCTCATGGCGTGTGTGTGTATGTGTGTGTGGAGAAAGATGATATCGTGACGATGTCATGCTGCTATTCTCGGTATGCGTCGGTAGCCGTCGTTAAACGGGGCTAACAGTCCATGAGTGCAAGGACGACGGGATTAGCGCCAAATCATTAAAGCCGTCTGGTGGCGATGGTGCTCCGTGTACTCGGGTGAATCTTTTTTACGTTACGTTTCTCCGAATTGTACTTCGTTTTCAGTGTGCATCCCGTTAGTTTGGTAATATGAGCATCTGACCATGAAATGTCTCACAGAGCTAACCCGAAATAAAACACGCCCAATTATCACTCGGGTGTATTTTTCATCTTGCTCATTGGCGGTTGAACTCCAATGACCTCAACCTTTCAGACTGAGCTACTGGTACCCCCCGTCTGAGCCGATTCCATTAAAAGATTCCATGGATTATTGATTTCCATAAAAGAATCCGCCACCTTTCGCTCTGGGGCGGCAAAGAGGCCAACGAATAGAAGTGGCGGGTAAAAGGTTAGCGTGATTGACCGGCTTGGCTTTGGCTTTCTTCTTCGATCAATGTCTCCGATTAATTCCCCCTCTGTGCCATTAACGCCCGGCGAGAAATCGAAGGGGACGCTAGCTAGCTGGCTCTGACACTCGCTGATCCGCCAAACAACATGAAATGGAGAGCGGAGTGACGGACACAGATTACTCTCTCGGTGAAAAAAAAAAAAGTCGAAGAGATTACAATGGTGCACCTGTTCCACCCCCCCCAATCGGAATGCCTCTAACAGACCGTTACTTTGTCTTTTGAACTTCCTGAGTATCTTAGCTTGTATTCCGAAGGAAGAGAAGAGAAGGATATTGCTTTTCCAAACACATAAGCCGCATTAAGCCCTCATGAACAATTTGACGATTGATTCGTCTCGGCGCTCTAAAATGCACAATGTAAATACACCGCGAGCCGTATTAAACCCATCTCAGACAATACACAAACAGCTCTCAAGATCGATGTCCAGTTCACAAAAGGGCAAGTGTAGCGTTGCCGACAGAAGGTCAGAAAGTTCTGTAAGCAACTCCGCTCGTGCATTTTAGAAAAAGAAATTGAACGTGAGCGCCGGCCTCGGGGACTATCAGCGTCTAAACTCGCGCCGATGAAATCCGATGTGACATTTTGTTAAACACAGCAAATGTTGACATTGGCAGACCTTGGAGATGATCCAATAAGCAAGAAGTGCCCGGGACAAGCTGAACAACAAATACAGTGGCTTGAAAGTCAGCATTTTACTCGGGGCTGTCTGTCTTCATAAGCCTTTGTTCCTGCGAGTTAGAAGAAACTCTTTTTTTTTTTTTTTTTCCCCCCCTTCAATAATCTGGACCAACATCTGTGCCGGTGTCTATTTACTGCAGCCATTGCTTCACTCTAACGTGCTAACCTTTTCTACAATCAGTAGCCTAGTTAGAACCTTGTCCGCATCCAGTCAATTGACCCAATTTGACCTTTTGGGTTGCATTCACAGGCCAGTTTTTTTTTTTGTGGTCTCGGCGCATTTCATATGGAAAAGAGTTTCACGAATCACACCTGCATCGGCAGCGAAACGGCTCTTCCTACACGACGGGCTTGACACACGCTGGCTGTACGCGATCCACCGGGTTTGTTACCACGGAAACCGCCGGTAGACGAGAACAAGAGGCAACGAGGGCGGCCAAGACTCTGTTGTGCATGGTGGCGCCCCCCCCCCCGCACCTCCTTTTCCTCTCCGTCGTCTGCTGTAATTGGAGATGATGAGATAATTAAACGGATTGTCATTGCATTGAAGCGCCCCAATTTAATATCGCGATTTTTTTTTTCTTTCCTTGTTTTTGCCACTCCAGTGAACACACCAGCGACGTGGTTTGATTCTGTTTCATCAACATCCAAACTTCCTGCCTGATTAATGATGGGCGCATCTGCAGTCGGCTGAGATAGGAAGCACATCAAAACGTATTTTCCATCACTTATTTCCTGGCCGATTCTCCGAGAAAGCGCTCTGCTTTTAATTGGCAGCAAAAAAACCCGCCTTAAAGTGACTCATCGCACTGATTGAAAAGTGTGAGTCATTTAAACGGCGGCAGCGCTAAAGGCGCGGCGCTAATAGTCGTCACTTCAGAGGTGATTCTCACGCGCAGTTGCATAAGAGCGTCGCCAGCGATGAACTTTCTCCACATTTCCTCGACCAATTGGCCGCATTTTAATTGGGCCCCGATCAATATCTCCCTAGCCGCCTTGTTAT